CAATGTTTTCAAAACAATTACAGAATAAATGTTATCACTTTTAGTGTGCTGAGTAATTAGCACTACAAAAATATGGTGGCTGAATTTTGTTTACATTTAGAAGTGACCATTCTGATTTCATTTATTCTGTGCTTAGATACAGTATTTTTCTTGGAAATACCACTGTCATTGATCTGTACACGATATCGATATATATTTTTAGCATGAAATTATTTTTTAGAACATTTTTTTCCCTGTTTACTTATAACTCTATCTTTTTTGCGCTACTGAGTTTCCTGTACGGGACCTTCCGTGTTTCGGCCATATATACGGATCAAGATAATAATGAAGTTTCGATACAACTAACTAATTCAATGAATCGTATCGATATCATTATTGTTATTATTAAGTCATCACGTTATTATTATTATGTTCTTTGTGATCTACGACCCAAGACCTTCCAAAAATATTCTCGAATTTTCTTCACTTTTCTTTTTAATTTATAATTATAATTAAGCACAATACCCTGCCCAGGCATTTGGTTTGGCGATTAGAAAACAATGAATCAACGAAGAACGCAAATCATAACCAGTTCACTTGCAATGGTTATGTTTCATCAACATTTTATACAACGGAAATGTCATACTTAGTATACTTCGTATTGCAAAAATTATCCGAGTTTGTAATAAGTAGTAATGTATTTTCGTGTCAAACGATAAAAAAACTGCAAAAAATATTTTTTATTATATATATACTGTAAATGTATTTATTTTTATATGCGAAAAACTTGTATAACGGAAGTTTTGATCTGTTTACCAATCATACAGAACAATAATTTTAAATTATGATTTTCATAATTTTAATTCCTTATGCAATTTCTGACTTAAAACTGTTACCTACGCAATCATTTACAAAGGAATAATAAATAAAATACTCATTCAATAAGATTACTAAGATGATTTTTTATTTTCACATTTTTTTTCTGTGATTTTAATATGAATCAGGGAGTGCCGAAACTACAAAATAGAAAGCCCCGCGTTCGGTAATTATATTAGGCCCCTTCCTAGGATTTATTTTTGTTGTACGTATTATTTATCAATTTAATCAATTTCATCAAATTTATCAATTTTTTTAGGTTTTAAAACACGTTTCACATCAGTTAGTGCATGATATATGTGTGTATATATATATATATATATATATATATATATATATCAAATTAAATAACTACAACTGTTGTATATTATATTTCACTACATATAAATGTAGTAAATTAATTTAAGTAGTTTAGGTAGGTATGTTGTATGCCTACTTAAATACTCAATGGACCCATTGTCAAATAAATATTATATTACTCTAAAATATTATGACATTCGTACCTGAATTTTAAAAAAGTTTCTTTTTATTATAAAATAACTAGCTGAATTACCCGTCGTTGCCGGGTTTAAGTGTATAAATGTATGTAACCTGCCAAGATTAAATTTTGTTAAATCTATTGAAATTTAAATTAATTAAGATTTTTGAAATAATATTTTATACATATTAATTTAGTTATTATCATAACCTATTCGATAAGTTATAGCTTACAACTACCTGAACCTCTCTACAGTTTGGTATTCTGTTGAATACATATAGCATCTCACTTCTCCGAATATTTTACTTTTTGTCAATAAGTTCATGGTCTTTTTGACTTTCAACCAAAACACTCTAGCAATTATATCATGTCGATCATATGATCTTTGACCGGGAAGTAAGAGCTCTTTTATCTCGTCCCAGCGAGGATTACATGTAAAATTAATATAAAGGTCAGGACGACCGTAATGTCAAACGTAGGTCATAGCATCTTGTGTTCTTTCGTGCATGTACCTTGGCCCACCAGTAAAAGTTGACGGGAGTATAACCATTTGGCCTAACTGATTAGCTTCTAAGTCTCGTCGTCCAATCGCATCTTTTAAATGAATATAACTATCTGCACGCAATTTGGCTTGGTTGTTTTTGATGTAATTTAGTCTTTCAGTTTCAATTTTGGCGTATTCATCTACCAAATATTGACTGAAAAGAGAACGATAACTAACTAAATAGTTGTCTTCCCCTTTTCTAACCATTATTCTATATGAGTAAAAATTTGATGCAGAGACAGTTTTTTTAAGCGGTAACTTGGTTTTTGGATCGCGTTGTGGTATATTGATTGCATACCCATCATCCCCCCAACAAAACATTAAAGGATACTGCAGTGCGTCGTATGCTCGATGTATCTCACTAATACGGTGAAGTGAGTTACTTCGGTTTTCGAGAATGATGTCTTTTCGATCAAACTGCTGATCTACTAACACTAAAGCAACTTCATTTGCCGTTGGTGCATTATACCTGCCTCTATGTTCTTCTGGTGGTTTTTTATCTGCATGTATTACAACTTTAAATGACTCTGAAGGAGGTATTTTATCGATGGTAAATTATAATGATCAATTGTAAATTATACGGTGGCATGCCTAGTAAATCCAATGAGTTTAAAAACTTTGTTGGATAATTTACAACTTCAGTAGCATCACAAACTGTATCAAGATTTGTATGACACCAAGTTTTCTGGTAACAAATTTTGTATCTTGAGATTCAATTCGTTGACCTCCACATTTTTTGCTATTAAAATTGCTCTTTCTGCCAGCCACTCATGATTTGTGTATTGTCTGTGTACACTGGGACATATCTGGTCAATGAGAGCATCTTGCGAATAAATGATTGTGCAGAAATCGTTCGGTAATTTTATACATCCCGTTTCATCTGTAGTAACCTTTCCATCTCCAATATCTAACAATTGTTTTGATAATCTTTTGCACGCAGCTTTTTTTGATTGAATCGAAGTATCAAAATCTTTCGCTATCTATCTTTATATATATTTCGACCATGAATTGTTGACAAAGCTTATGCATCGTAAAATAATTTAGTCCTGATCGCGTCTAATCATCAACCGATATGCATAATAATTTTTTGAACTAACATTCTTATTTGTTTTGGCACCTGTTGCGGGATCGTTTTGTTTAATATTTATGCAATACCCGTCATTTACTACCAAAAATAAAATTAATAGTTTTTAAATAATTTTTAATAGTTTTTTAATAATTTTTTAATAGTTTTATTTAATATAATTCATTTTTAATAGCGCAGTTATCGACCTGGTCAAAAAATATTAAACCGATTTCAACCCTTTAAATTCAAAATTTCGAAAAATCCTTTCTTAGCGCACGTCTACGTCATAATAGCTATCTGTATGCCAAATTTCAGCCAGATCCGTCCAATGGTTTGAGCTGTGCGTTGATAGCAGTCAATCAGCTTATTGTTTTATATATACAGATAATATAATATTATTAAATGATTGTGTGTTTGTAAAGTTTAGTTTATTTTATACTGAAACTAGGGGCTCCCAAATGTAAGCCTTGGGACCCGTGTCACGGTACACTCTGCACACCCGGTTCTTGTGGAACTGATATCCGGTCAACAATTCATGAATACAAATTCAGTACAACGTATATAATTATTTAAATGATTCAATTTTTTTTTTTTTTTTTGCTCCACTCCAGAAATATTGTTCAAATACTTGCAATAATTATTCACAGTTGGATTTTTCCATCCAGCTTATAGTAATATTACTGCCTCCACATTTATTATAGCTAAGAGTTGACTTTAAAGTAAAAATATATTTCTCTAGTTGTCCCCAAAAAAATCTCAAGTTTATTTATAATCCAAGTTAGTCTTGACTAGCATACACCAATAGACGGACTAAACTGGCTAAACGTTTGTCGACCTGGTTAGAAAAAACGTTTGGAAATGTTATAAAATTAATTTATCAAGACTTTTCATGCCTTGTTTCTGCAGACGGTATTTTTCCCATATGTATAATGACGTCAGTTGAATTAATATTGTGGTGCATTTGTATGGGGACATGAGGTCATTTAGTTTTGTATAACTTTTTCGTTTTGGGATAAAATTGTAATGGTAACTTTACGGTTGCACCATTATAATAATATTAATTTTAATTTGTATACGCGTTTTGCTTTTTAAATCAAATAACAAGTCGCGTACCGCTTGTGTTATTTGACATACGAGTAAAAAATGTATATAGCAATCGCTAATTTTCATTCGACTAGCACAATACATCTTATTTTATTATGTTTATTATATATATACTGAATAATGAAAAATTAATTTATTTCTTTAAATCTTTTACACGATGAATAAAATATAAATTACTATTTTTCTACATAGTCACAATTCAAACACTTTTTTCCAGCGATGGAGTAACTTGAAAATGGGATCTCAGAAATACGCAGCATATTTTTCATTTAAGTATTCGGTAACTGCGTTCATGACACATCATTACATTTTTCATTTCATCTTCAATTTTTTTATCAAAAAATTAAACAATAAATGCTGACTGATATACTGAAACGTCAGAAAAATTTAAAGAAAAAATGCATTTTAAGAGAAAAGAGCAATTATATTCAAAAAATGTAAAACTGCTGCATGACAATGTAATCCAAATTCAGAGAGAAAAACCAAACCTTGACTGAAAAATACAAGTGGGAAGTATTGAAATATCCACCATTTAGCCTTGATCTGGTACCTTCAGATATTTATTGTTTTGATCCGTTAAATAATACACTTAGAAGGAATTAATTTTCAAAAATTAGGATAAAGTCATAAACGCAGTTATCGGGTTCTTTAATGAAAAATTTGCTGCGTATTTCCGAGATGGCATTTTCCAATTAATCCATCGTTTAAATAGTGACTATGTAGACGAATAAAAAAATGCATCTTATCTATCGTGTAAAAGTTCTAATGTAATAAATTAATTTTTTATTATTCAGTATATTTTTGTACCTTATTTATTGGACAGCCTGTGTAATTGTATATTTTTAAATATGTTTGCTCTATACCTTTATAGAACTAATATTACATATACGTTAACGAGCATTGGTCCATATAAACCGAACGACGTATAATAATAATGAATCAAAAATACAAACCTAATTCAAGTTATTCGGTACACACTTAGTGAATGTACAAGACATTGGACTGCTACGATGTATATTTGAAGTTCATTTTTCAAATAGTACGTCTTGAATTTCAGTAATGTCTGCAATGATAGAGAAAAAACAATATAAGTGAAGAAACAAATGAACAGTGAACATTAAATAATATTAGATAATCCGATTCGAGTTCAACGTGACTGTTTAAGAAATACACACGATCTGTATAAATTTAACTGTTATTTCAGCGTTGGATCAACGTTATGCACACAATAAATTGCGCCGTTAGTGCGAAACACGAATAATGCAACATTTGACTATAGTACGGGACCGTTGCGGTTTGATACTATTCAAATACTATTGGAAGTCATCATCAACTACCAATAAATATTATGCAGATACATCGTGGGTTATCAATTAATATCTGCTTTAAGTTTAAAGCTCATGACACAAGGACTCGGTGGCTACACACCTGGCGGGATTGACGCGTCCATAACAATTTATTTTACTTTAAATCAGATATATCAAATTTAAAGAATCAAGTGGGCAAAATATATTGAATGGCTTACTACGTGAGTCGCTTATAAATATTTAACGAAAAAAATAAATATATATATATATATTATTATTATAAAATACATATAAAACCATATATACAATTATTCGATTAAAGTTTATCGGAAGATAATACATACTAATGAATACATTTTTTTTAAAGCTTATCATTTTTGAATTTTAAATCACTACTGTATTTATTATATTTTCTTCTTCAAACCTACTACGGTGATTATTCTTGTATCTGGCATTCATTCGATAAACTGAAAATCATTACCAAAAATATATTTTTAAATATAAATTACATATAATATTGGCAATTACGTTAGATTTAAAGACATTTAAGAAAGTTATTATACATACTACAATTTTACTAATTTTGTTTTTATTTTCGAGTTCACTCTTTTATGACGTCATCTATAGTAACTGCAATTGCACAGTGAATATTCAACGTCGTTAATCCATTTAGTCTACACGCTGATATTAAATTTATGAGGTGTGTTTTTAGTATTTTTAAAGTTTTTTTAAGCAAAAAAGTCTGTTATTGGTACTTTTATTAGTACGTTTACTCATTTTATTTGTTCGACGGTGACAATAACATTCTAACAACTGAGCCGATACAATAAAAACACGTAGGTACAGACAGTTATACAAATATTATATTATCCAGCTTTTGACAACTATAAATTGATATTAGTAGCTATTATACATTTATGTGGTATTCCCAAGTGGCGTGTGTACTACCGATTTTTTGGAAAAAATAAAAAAAGATACCCACATGTGATTATCGCTATCATATTAATACGTTATACAAATGGTTGTAATTATATGTTTATTTTCACGTTATTTGATAATAAATTTTAGAAATTGTTCTATATATTACATGAATAAAAGTCATTATGTACATTTATAAGTACACATTATGATTTATATTCAACTGCCATAATTCTATTATATTAGTAGCATTTTATTATATTATTATATTATACTATTATGACAATAGTATTAAAATGTATTCTAATAAGCCTTATGAATAAAATATGACGACAGTTGAGCGTTATACATCTTAAAAAATGTTTTCGACAGTCATTGAATTAATTTTTTATACATTTAATGAGGGTGTTCCGACACCCAAAACACCCCTTGTTGGCGCCACTGGTCTCACAAAATAAACGAAATAATTTTTACTTTAGTTATTATTATTTTTTTCTTATTATTAATATTATTATTAGGTTAACTGCTAGGCTTAAAGTATAACAATTTCTAGTTTTATTCTAGATGAAGAATTATTATTGAGAACATTTAATAACTAATACGTTTATATATTATATATAGTATTTAATTCAGTGGTTACCAGATTATGAAAGTTACAACCGTATACCGTTTAAGATTATTATTATTTTTTTCTTTTTTTAATAATATTATTTAATTGATTTATCGAAATAAATATAAAAATGCGTCAATTATTTCCTACTATGTTTAAATCACTTTATCAAAAAGTTTTATTTAACAATATTTTTAAATTTTTTTCGAAATATCCAGTTTTTATTTTGAAAAACTCTAATGTTCGTTTTCCCACTTATACTCTCACTCAGGTATCTTGATATATATTAGCCATATTTAAATATATGCCATGCTATACTTATCGCTGAATTCTGGGATTTATTATACAAAACGACCACGAATAATCCGTTTAATCACGGTAGTTTTTGTTGTCTTCGTCAAAATAAACAAAAGTAAAACAAATTTAAGTCATGAAATAATATATTTTACAATATATTTATGACAATAAATGATAAGACTGTATTTTCGTTAATGTTATATCCATTTCATTAATAATTTTTGCGTCAATCAAAACAATCCTAACAAATGATTGTCTATGTTTATTGTTGTTTTCTAACTATATTTGTTTTTAACACAAAAGAAAACTATGTTTTCTCTTTATATTTCGTTATAATATGAATGCTATGTGCTTACCGAATTTTTATATTATATTTGGAAGTATTTGGTTAACATAAACAATTTTTGTTTAAAAAACAATAATATATAATTACATATATTTAAATATGGACAGGACTTAAATTAAAATAATATACATTGTTTACCGTTATGGTAAATTTAAACGTTATAAGCAACTGTAGACATACAAGTATTTCGTAAATCGTTAGTGCTCCGTAAGGGTGAGACGCATACATGCGACATATGCATGAGACTATGCTGTCTCGTTACAATATATTTGTGGGTATACGCACTAAAAAAATATGGATATTAATTCTAAAAGTAGTTATGAAAATGAACGTCGAAGGGAAACAAAGAAGAGGAAGACCAAAAAAGTGATGGTTGAATACGATAGAGAATGATATGATGGCTGTTGGTGTATGCGTAGGGGATGAAGAAAATGGAGACGAATTGAGGTTTAGGACAAGGGTGGCCGAACCCAAATAGTTGGGAGAAAGGTGAAGGAGAAGAAGATAAATTAATTTTTTTAAACAAAATTGTTTTTATTAAATTCAATACGAGAATAATTGATCATTTGTAAAATGTTAACAAACACTATATTTTTAACATTGAATTTTTCTTCGTTGAAAACGCTACATAGAAACTACTCCATGCGTGAAATTGTTCTGACTTGAACTTATTTTTTGAAACTTATTGTTTTTGATAAATAATTTATTAGAGAGGAAGATATATAATTTATAGATGTATCGTAAATTATTGTACATTTTATTGTATATTCATTTTATACAGCAAGTACTATTACTCGCCATGATGTAAATAAATATGGCCATACACTACACACTCACTTCTTTAACAATATCAGCGTAACCTTTCGATTTTAATCGGATGAGTGAAGTGATATAATCTAAAAATATTATTTGATCCTATTCGTCAATAGATTTGATAAAATAATTGTCACAAAAAATTATGTTATTTCTGAGTATCTTGTATAGAGCTGTTCAAAGTTTGTATGAAGGAATGTACGATATCTCCGGTTATAGGTGAATGGTTTTATCCGAAACTTATTTGAACGCAAAATTTAGAAAACGCATGTAAATATATATATAAATTCAATATTTACTATTGGTTTCAAACAGTTATACGTTAGATACGATGTGAATTCTACTTACTTATTATTTACAAACGGAAAGTATTTACTATAAAAAAAAATTTTTTATTATTATTTTATGATTATTATCGAACCTGAGCTGACGCAAAACCAATGTACTATTGATGTTAAATGTTTTTTTTTTCTCCCTAAATTTTACTCTCTTTAATGTAATTTTATTTATGTTTCATAAAAGTCATTTGTATACTAACGAAAATCGGATATATATGAACAAAAATTTATAGTTAAATGTTACATATGGCTTTTACAATAATGTGTAGGATATTGTAGGTATTTGTAGCTATATAACACTTAATTAAAGATAAAGATATTGAAATCAGAAGGGCAATTCAATATACTTAATATATATATATATATATATATATATATATATATATATATATATTTCTAGTGAAAAACAATAATATATCACGGAGGTGTGATTGTCAAGACTACTTTTCCGAAAGTGTGTAAGAAGTAACAAACTTTTTGAGACGGGGTTTTCGGCCTTACCAGAAAATACTTATTACTGACACTTGCTAATTTTTGTAGACAGTATTAGAATATATCAAAGGGATTGATTATCCCGTTTATTAACCAACGTTTCAGATAAGCAGTCGACTTCTATCCTTTTTGAAATAGTATTCATTACAGGTGAAAGGTGTGTAATAGCATAATAACCAGATAGAAAGGTGAGCACCAGTAAAATAAAAATCCACATAATTTATAAGTATTTATTAATATAAGCTTAATTTATCAAAAAAAAAAAAAAAATAATAATAATAATAAATAAATATAAACCATGATTCATTATATTATTACTAATTATAATATTAACTATTTAAAGAGTATAATTTTGATTGAAATGGGTTTAATAAATAAGTAACAAATTGAAATACTACAACTATATTTCTTAAGTAATCTTTTTTTTATTAATATTTTAAATATTTGCTCATTTATATCACGTTCCAAATTACAGTAAATGCACATTATAAAATATATATTCAAATTATAATCTGGTGAATAAATAATTGTAAACATCACATTAATTTTTAACTTTTTCATTCTCATCAAAACAAATCTAGTAAAAAAAAAAAAAATTATATGATATTTAAGTGTCAGTTTATATAATTATTATATTCTTTAAATATAAAAACACAATACCATCAAATTAATACATGCATTAAATGGTTTGCTGGAAAGCTATTATGGTTAACGATACAATTCATTGTATATTTCAAAAATATACTAATATTGGAATATTTATCCTTTCGGTTAAAGAAAAATACTAACAACTTTTTAGGAATGCCCATTTCAAACTTTTATGAAATCGAAATACTAAATGTCAAGTTAGAATGTTGTAATGTCTTCAAAAAAGAAATATTTTGAATCATTTTATTATAAAATTCCCATTGATCTATGTTAAAATGTAAATTTCTAGCCCAT